GGTATTGATCTTGTCGTGGTACCCTGTGGGGAACTTGCTGCTGGAGTTGAAGAAGCTTTGCTAGAAGATGTGGACCCGGATGGTGCCTTGGATACCTGTGGGTGTGAACCGGATTATGTTTAGAGTGCTAATGCTCGGAATGTGTGACGTATCATACGCGCATATGATCAGCTCGGGCTTTACCTTTGAGACCATAACGACCACGAAATCTTTTTCGGTTATATTATACTCGGACAAGGGCTTTTCGTCTGCCAAGATTTTGCCTATACGACGATTGAAATTTGTCAAGACGTTACATTGCTAGTAAGAATTACGTAGACATGTTCAATACCTGAGAAAATTAACTTTTGTAATGAAATTGCATGTCCCTGCGACTCCTCTATTTTCCTTTTAACGTCTATAACCTGAAAGACGAGTTATGGTTCAGCACAGAATCTGTTGAAACAAAACTGCGCAAAAATTACGGATACGCCAAAGGATCAGATACATTACTTTGTCTTCAGGCTCGACGTCCAATTGAAACTGCTTCTGCTGCAAAGTCTTAAGTGTGAGCTTCATTGCTACAATATGTTTGGGTATCGGGTCGGTTTAACTAGTGAGCAAGGGCTAAGCCGAAGCTTTCTGGCAAAAAACTCGGATAACTTTGGATGAGCTTACATCATCCTTCACTGAGGAGATCTGCGATGACGTACGCCAACGCAAATAACAATTTCAGGGGTCAGACCCCAACGCTAGTATTAATGCCAAGTAATTGTCTATGTCTCATTCAGATCGACAAAGCTTTCATCTACCTCGGAATAATTATTATGATAAGAAGGATTAAACAATAACTATTTAGAATGATACAATTGTAGGTACATTACTATTTAATTTGCGTTCTTGTGGACCAGCCACTAACCAGATTGTTTTTTGCAAAGAAGATGAGATGCGTTTATGCAGGCCCAGTTATAATACAGGTGGACAACACGAAATATATCACACTATTCATGTATGATATGCGCAGAGTCTTCAATGAACCGATTTAACGAAAACATTACTACGGAAGAGCAAACGCCAGTTGTGTTTAAAACTCAAATCATTAAACGTTCAGCTATTTGCCTTCCACTTACATTCATTTACTTAATTAAATGTTTAGGCTTAAGTACCCGCGTTTTTGCAAAGAGAATAATACATGTTTCAAAATTTAATATTTGTTTTTATTTCTCTAATCTCGATCTAAAACGTATATCTTTGTGGCAAAAGCAATATAATCTGTGGTATTTTATTGCTAAAGTTTTATCGATATCGATATGTAATTTTTTTTATAATAATTTACCTTCATGTTTTTTTGCTGCCATAATTTTCGTCGCGAATTAATACAATCGAAAAATTGCATAATATTAATTAATTAATGTAAAAAAAAACAGTGCTTATTTATTCAAATTGCTCTTTTCGGAATTGCCTTCCCAAGTTTTTACCAGAATATCTCGTAAATGATGAATAAAACCACTATTATTATTTGATAGTCTATCTACTTTGCGCTTTTCGAATACCCAACATATTAACAATAAAATAGACAGTTATGTTAATAGAAACCCCAATAAAATCTTTGATTCTTTTTCTGAATTATTATTCATTCTTTATAATTTATTTTTCAAATTAATCTTTTTTTTTTTTTGCGACAATGCGTAAAGCGAATGCTTGCATAATTTCTCGCATCCAAAAGTGTCAAAGTTGAATCCGATGAGACAATTAAAATGCTTACGGACAACTAAAATTAATAGAGTTAATAACTGCTTGATCGAACGTTTATTAATGCGTCAAGTAGTATATTGTTCGTTTTAGGTAAAGAAAAGTAGGGTTGAGCAAACAAGAAACGGTAATCAACAGTAAAAACGATGTCTATCAGGTAGGCTTTTCTTTCTTTTTCTAAGGGGAAACTACAAGTAAAGCAAATATTGTAACACAGGAATCATAAAGTACAACCTTTGTGTACGTTAACCGTGCAAATATCGATAAGGTTATATCTATTAATAGGTAGACTCCGAAACGTACACAATGCTGTGAATGGAAACGCGTATAGGAATTCGTACCCCAAACAAATAATAAAGGCTCGTGTCATTTGCGATTTAAGTTTACAATGTTATGAAAGAAGCTGAGGTGGTGACTGGGAAATGTACAACGTTCACAATCATAATTATAATATTGTTAATAGCAAAATGCTTCTTTTCTTTGGCAAACACAAGTATGATCTTTGCTGAAAAGATCACAACATGAATCTCGACTTGCACGATTTGTAATATTAAATGCCTATTTTTATACCATACCGTTTTGTTTGTTTTTTGCTTATTATTAGTGAAACATCTGTCTTATATTTATAAATCTCCATTATTTGAATGCAGTTTTTATCGTTTGACTTACGATAATGTCATTACAGGCTCTTGACAAGTTGATTCAATCTTCCCTAGCACATGAACATAAGCTCGTATGGATTCCGTACGAAAAAATTACCAACATACGGTCAACGCAAACTGACATCATCCATTACGCTGTACTGAATGATGGTGGGGTTGATGAAAGGAAGATAATGTTGCTATTGCTGGGAAGTAGCGACGCATGTAAACCAGCATTTGTGAGTGAGTTTGCGAGAATATACTCGCTTCCAACACACGAGTACAACACCGATAACAATAACTTTAGACGATACTCCGTATGGCTTAGTAAACGCAACAAACTCATTATTGGATTCACCAAGTCTAACGATAACTATTACATGGTTGCTCATGAACGCTTTTACCATTGTTATTCTCGGTATGGCTTCTGTTCCACATGTGGAATACTCCGTTGTAGTCCGGTGTGGTGCATTTGTGGAGATAAACAATTACGAAATGGATGGACAAGCAACAATCACCAACTCGATGAATTTATCAAAAAGTCTCAATTACAAACAGAAGCAGCAAATCAAGCCTATTTAGAATGGATTCCGTATGAGTGTATTAAAGTTGAAAAAGAGGATAGATATTCCATCGGTTTACCTACCCATGCGGCTGTTAAATTAATTCCACTCGAGACAACAGATGATGACAAGGTAAACTATTCAATTATGTATTGCGTTTGTTGAATTGTTTGGATAGCTAATGACTTGAGCTAACTTTTCATTTTTACTAGTTATGTGACGAACATTCCGATATTTTGAGCAGTGATCGTTGGGTTACCATCGGGTTTACATACGATGCGAGTAAACAAAAGTATTGCCTAATAAAGGAGTATTACGACTATGGATTGTGTTTGGCATGCGCGTTTGAGTTTAAACGTGGCATAAATGCATTCTGTTATTGGTGTAAAGCATCAAGACCTCTTGACTGGACGACAGGCAACAAGTCAATGGATTCCTTCATACTGAATCATGGTGTAATGTGATGAATGAATATGATGCGTATATACAATGGATAGAATACTCTCTCTTGACAAACGTGCAAGAAATAGCATCATTACGACATAACTGCACACATATAGCGGATTGGTTGGAAACGGGAACGGATAAACCGACAAAAGTGGCGCTCAAACGGATAGTCGATGAACGGAACGTTTCTTTAATTGATTTCTATCAGGTAAATTATTTTACGTGTAAATATTAAAATGCGTTTCACGCGTTACATCGGTATTATTCTTATAAGTAAATTTGTTTGTTCAAAATAGTTGACTAAAGAATATGCAGAGATATTGACTCCAGACAACATCTGGATTGTTGGTATTACTCGAGAGCCCTTTACTAGCACATATTGTCTAGTGTTCTACTACGACGTGCACGCAATCTTGGATAGACTTACGCAGATCGGTAATGTTGTCGTGCCTATGCCGTACCATGACTTTGATGATATTGAAGAAATTGGATCTGGCGGTTATGGAACTGTCTACACAGCCAACTATAAATATTCCGACGAAAAAAACATTCCAAAAACTGTTGTTCTTAAACGTTTTAAAAACTTTCGTCGGGCGCCAGAATCATTTATTTCCGAAGTAAGCATTATTATTATTGCGATTGTTAATTAAATAATTACGCGCGTATTTGTCTGACGCTTGTATTTATTTATTTTTTTTTTCCAGCTTAGAAATCATGCCAAGTGTATGAGCTGGACTAATGAATTTCTCGATATTTACGGGTTCACACAAGACCCGGAAACAAAAGAGTGCATAATTGTTATGCAATACGCTAATAACGGTGACCTTTTGTCTTACTTGGGTCAAAATATTAACAAGTTGACATGGGCGATGAAATTTCGATGTGCGAGAGATGTCGCATATGATGTACGTGTCATTCATAATGCAGGGTTCGTGCATTGTGATCTTCATGGCGGAAATATAGTCTTTCATGACGGAACACCATTTGAGTTAGAAATAGACTATATCACAAGTGAACCGTATATTTGCGATTTCAGCATTTCCCGGTCAATGAATTCGCACGGGTCAAATTTAGCTATTCAAGGTGTTATACCCTTTATTGCACCAGAAGTCTTTCATACTGGCAAATTCACTCAAAAATCAGACATATATGCATTTGGTATCATCATGCATATGATAGCCAGT